ATCCAGCTGCGTGGAGAGGGGGAGTCAGTTGCATGGGCAACAGCTGATTCTCCATATAACCGTGCCCAGGCTTGCGCCCTGGAGAAGACACTCCAGCTTCCCTTCACAGCGTTGACACAACACAGGAAGCAACAGTTGCCGGTTATAAGTCACCACTCGATTGGCGTAGAGTTAAACGCCAGAGGTTGCTTCCGACGGTGGGAGAGACCAACATGTCTCATTGGACAGCTATCACCCGCCTCAAGCTGGCCAGCCCCCAGCTAATAAGGTGCCGTCCCGCCACAGCTCGCCTGCCTTGCTGGGTGCGCAGGGCTTAAGATACGTGAGTACCTGAGAAGCGGGCTGTAACTACATCACCAAGAAAAAACAAAAGAAAAGCAACAAGGAAATCAACAATCCTCAAGGAACGTCCGGACTATGCTGACTGGGCGTTCAGATGATCTCCAGGCAATCAGTGATGTTCGAAAGACTTCAGTCATCAACGACTAACTCGCAAGACTCCATGTCGATATCACCTCATTTTAAGAGACACGGCTACCAGATTCTGGGTCCCTTAGAGAAAAGAACTACACGTTCTTCTGGCAAGGAAAGAGCACAGACGAAGTTAGGGAGTATGGTGTTGGTTTTGCGGTCAGAAACTCTCTGCTTGCGATAATAGAACCCTGCCAAGAAGGATACGAAAGATTGCTCTCTCTTCGCCTCCACACCACAACTGAGCTAGATAATCTAATCAGTGTTTACGCTCCCACACTCATTGCCGCCACAGATACCAAGGATGTGTTTTACAACGAGCTCGATTCGCTCATCGACAAAATTCCAAAAGAAGAGAACTTGATATTACTGGGCGACTTCAGCGCTAGGGTGGGTGCGATCACGACTCCTGGCCTTTGTGTTTCGGCAAGTTTAGCATTGGGAAGATGAATGAAAATGGGCAACGTCTACTAGAAATGTGCTCGTACCACAACCTTAGCATCACCAATTCATGTCTTAGACAAAACCACAGCACAAAGTGTCTTGGAGGCATCCCCGATCCAAACACTGGCATCAGCTGGACTTGATCATCACAAGACGTTCAGCCATGAAGGGTGTGCAGCTTAATCGTACATTCCACAGCGCTGACTGCGACACCGATCACTCACTAGTTTGCTGAAAATTTAAGCTTCAACCAAAGAAGATCCACCACTCTAGGCAAGTGGGTAAACCACAAGTTGATGTGAGCAAGTTATCATATCCAGAAAAGGCTGAAGAATTCACTTACGCCCTCTCCAAGGCGTTCAGCTCAGAACCTCCCTACGGCAGTGCCAAAGAGAGATGTACGCCTTTGGGACGTCCACAGAAGGGATCTACCTGCACACGCGTTCAGACGGCAGGCTGTTCAACCTGACACGACTGAAGGCAATGAGCAAAGTAAGGAAAGCAACCATTAGGGACATGCTCTTTGCAGATGAAGCTGAACTACAACGCCTGGTGGACCGCTTTGCTAAAGCATGTGATAAATTCGGGTTGACCATCAGCCTTAAGAAAACAAACGTGATGGCTCAGGACGCGGACCTTCCCAGCATAATCATCAACAACTACAAAGTAGAAGTAGTCAGTGAGTTCACTTACTTTGGCTCTACCATCACCAACAATCTCTCATTCGATTCCGAGTTCAACAAGCGGATTGGAAAGGCGTCAACAACTCTCTCTAGATTGTCGCAGAGAGTGTGGAACAACAGCAAGCTGACACTGAACACTAAGATCTCCGTTTACCGTGCCTGCGCGCTTATCACTCTCCTGTACGCCAGCGAAACTTGAACTCTGCATGTCTCTCAGGAGAAAAGACTGAGTGACTTTCACATGCGTTGTCTCCGTCTCATACTCGGGATCACCTGGAGCGATCGTGTGACAAACAACGATGTGCTTCAACGTGCCATAATTCCCAGCATGGTCACACTCCTCCGCCAACGTCACATCAGATGGCTGGGCCATGTGCGTCGAATGGATGATGGAAGGATCCCTAAAGACCTTCTCTACTCTAAGCTTTCCTCAGGCAGAAGATCAATCGGACGGCCACATCTTCGCTTCAAGGATGTCTGCAAGCACGACATGAAAGCTCTTGGGATCGAGATCAACAACTGGGAAGAGCTTGCCCTCGACAAGTCCAGCTGGCGACATGCTCTGTTCACAGGTCTGAAAACCAGCGAGGAAAAGTTACGACAGCTCGCTGATGAGAAAAGATCTCAGAGGAAGAGGATGCAGTTCCAACCAAGACCTGACTCAAACTTCAAGTGCGGCAACTTCAGCAAGGATTGCCACTCCCGTGAGGGGATTTATAGCCACAGAAGACGCTGCACAAGTACAAACTGGAACACCTTTCATGGGCGCATTTCCATCGTCTCTCGAGACTAACGGAAGCCAACGCAACTATTAGGTAATCAGTCACGAAATAATTGGGGTTTAGTCCTTTTGAACTAGGTTTTCAAAATACTGTCATTAGACAACTGAAGTTATTAAAAGAGAAACTTCTTTTAATTGAAGATCCAATGATCTTATTGACTATGTAATCTGATTTCAAATATAGATTGTCAAACGTTTGTAGCATAGCATAAACTAATCTTCATTCCACTTAGTCAAAAATAAGTAAAAAAGTAAAAAAAAATAAAATGAAGATATGACTGAATTGCAAAGGAAAAAAGTTTTCAGTCTGGTGAAATAGATCTGGCTCTTTTGCCCATCTCTGCAAATTCTCTTCAGGCTAAATTTTTAGTTCTTTATTTAGTTGTAAAGAAAATAAATGACTTTCATTATTTCATTAACATGCCTTGGAGGAGGAAATAGAAACAACTTTGTCATATAAATAAGTTATAGGTGTAATTTAGAAGATATAACTCAAATATTCATTCAGTCAATTTACTTGTACCTGTCTCACACAGTGAAGATTGAAACTATTGAATGCAATTGTACTTTAGTGACTCCGGTTTAAGCAATCTTTGGAAATCAAAAATATAAACAATCTTGACAACAATAAACTAAAACAGCTACTACGTGAAAATAAATACCTGTTTTCTGATGTTCCAACACAAACAAATACAATCTATCGTGACTTTGATACAGCAGATTTACACTTGTTAAACAGCATCCTTAAAGGATAAATCAGGAGTGTTTGAAAAAAGAAATTAAATTTACTGGAGAATGATTTGACTGTCGTTTACTGTGCTTAAAACAGGTAATGTATTTCACATGTGTGCTGACTATAAAAAAGTAACAGTGTCACCAAAAACAAATTCATTTCCAGAGCCAAGAACAGAAGACTGCATTAACAAATTTGGACATGCAACATGTGTCAACAAGTGTGATCTTTTAAAAGGATTCTGGCAAACTCCACTCACGGAAAGAGCAAAGTTTGCAACTCCAGACCGACTTGTTTCCGTATAAAATTATGCGAGTCGGGGTGAAAATTCTGTCAACATTCATTTGCTTAATGAAAATGAATACCTTTTGTCTAGATATTTTTGACGCGTACATTGAAGACACCGTCATCTGAAATGATACCTGGAAATAGATTGTGTACATTTACTAAATTTTCTGTACCCAATCGCAATGATAGAAGTAATTACAATCTATAAGATCAATCAAAATAAATAGTACCATTTGTACGTACTTAGACCTTTTTTTAATTTCAGTGGTCAACATTATATCTGTTTTATTTGGCAGATTACTTTGTGGATATCAACAATCTTGAATGCTATGTTAATAATGTTTGCGATAATATCGCAACATTGCTCGCCTAACCTTAGGTTACTTACTGACTGGAAATTTGACATATAGTGCCCTGACTCTGGTGATTTAATATCGGCGTCAGTGTGTGTGTGTGTTTGTTTGTGTGTATGTGTGTGTGTGTGTGTGTGTGTGTGTGTGGTGAATGATAGGGTGGCGGATGAGGGCGCCCCACTCCACCTAACCCAGATTAAACAAAATCATTATGAAGTAGATAAATAATGTATAACCCATTGATTTTACCATATCCCCGAAAAAATCCATGCGGACGCCAACGTATGCAATGTTCTCAGTTATATCTTCCATCCATCCTTATGTTGTTATATTCATCTATCACTGAATTCCTCAATCGGAGAATAATTATTGATCTGATATTTGCATACATTATTACAAGCAGATGAGCTGGACCCCTTGGTTTTTTAACAGTAGATTTGGATCAGCGCAAAGACGATGACCAGTTATCAAAATTACATATTCATTATTTTGCAGTTTATCTGACCTGTTGAAAACTTTGGAACATAAAAGCCGTGAATCAAAATTACTCATCAAAACAAGGTCTGGTCTTTCAGGAAATGATAAAAACTGACATATTAAATGTTACTGCATATGCATGCAAAGTGTTCCAATCCAGATAAATATCAGAAACGTCACTCCTAAGAATGAACAAGTAAATGAAATCTTATTTATAATTCGTTGTATTACAAACTATGGATGCAGTATAAACAATGATCGTCAGAGCTGATACTTTTCGTAGGTAACGGGATAAACATATATATATATATATATATATATATATATATATATATATATATATATATATATATATATATATATATATATATATATATATATATATATATATATATATATATATAACCCCAACAATTATATCTTATATATAACCATATCAATTATATTCAGCATATAACCTCAACAATTATATCTTATATATAACCTCAACAATTATATTCAGTATATAACCTCAACAATTATATTCAGTAAATAACCTCAACAATTATATCCATTATATAACCTCAACAATTACAGTATATCCAATATATAACATCAACAATAATATGCTATATAACCTCAACAGTTATATCCTATATAGCTTTATCATGATGTCCCCATCCAATAGCATGGACTGTTCAGACACCAGGCCGACCAGTCCTAAAACTAACCTGTTAATCCTGAGCGCCTAGCGAGGCAGCTATTTGTACCATTTTTATAAGTCCTAGGTATGACTAGTCCGTGGTTCGAAACTTCGACCTACCGCATTCGAGGCGGATGCTCTAACCACTAAGCCACCGGGGCAGGTCTCTATGTTTTTGTATATGATTCAGTCATAAGTTAGAAATGATAAATTGATGTTCGAAATATTTCAAAATGTCACTATAATTGAAATGTTCTTATTACATTAAGAGACAATAATACATGGGCAACCTACTCATCAAGCCTATTGCATTTTGATCCAACATTTAAGGAGTTGAAGTTGTTACGGACAGACGGATTAACAGACAGACAGCGAGTATCACAACGTACCCAACGTTTTACAGAATTGTATGTGTGTATATACATTTACTGTATCCAGTTTTCAATTGTCACATTATTTTGTTTTACACTCAACGCTAGATTTATCCATCGTTTTCAAAGACAAATGCGACGCGAGTTGCAGGTGCTGCTCAAAATGTTTGTTATGATATATAAGCACGTATCTTTTATCAAAAATGTTTAACGTTTGTCATATAGTATTATATGTATGCAATATTGTATGTGTGACGCAAAGCAACATATCATGTAATTTCTGGCACATGTAGAAATCAAATTATAGACAAGATTAATTTGATCTTTGGAGTTCGTTATTAGGCATTTCATGTTACTGGAAAGATTATTTATTCGTGCCTGAGATCTAGCAGAATCAATTTGTGATATTGTGGTGCCCGACAGTTTATTTAGACTGGAATTTATTTCTTTAAATTGTTCAATTCAAGTGAATTTTCTCTGGAATTACAGAGTTATATTGAAAAAATAATTTCTTGGACAGAGACATAAACTGAAATTTATAATGAATTCAGATCTGGAATTATATTATCTTGTTTAAATGTTAGTAACAAAATACACTTCTCCACAGGCACATAACACCTTTAGCGTTGGACTTAATTTGGATTTCTACTAAAGTTTATTCAGAACTTTAAATCGTGGAAATTTTAATCTTTAAATCTATGATTATTTTGCGATTTATTTCAGTAAGTTCGTTTTATTTCTCACCTTGTATTCTAGGGAAATTTTTTTTTGTTGAATTTTGTTAAGCTTGTTGCATTTCATTTTTTTTCTGTTACTGAATTTTAGAGCATAGACTCATAACAGTATAAAGCGCTCGCCTTCAAAGATCATGGCTGCAATATCACCTATTCGCAAAGGTTCGAGTTTCGGGCTCGGTCAATTTAAGTATATGAGAAAGCTTGCCAGTAGGTTCCCGTGGATGGTTGGTTCTTACCAGGGTTTTTCCAGAGTTCTTCCTTTAGCAGTTATACTGGCCGACATGTATATCATGTATGGAAAAAGGGTGTTAACCCCCAAATACTCTAAAATAGAAGGTTCCACCTCGCCGTTCAAGACGCCCTTTCTCTTCTGCATAATTATGGTTATCAGCTTAATCTATTAGTACTAGTTTGTCTAACTTCGATGCATTTTTAGTCCCAACGGTGATGTCAGTTGCATCCGTGCGATGATAGTCGCGTGCTACCACTAATTACTGTGAACAATTCAATATCGTTATCAGGAGATATTTATCATCCTCTAAAGCCGTACTTGCCTAATTATTTTTATAGATGTTCTGATAGACTACTTGCTTCAGGTCAGTTTTAGGAACATCAAAAGAGAAATGTAGTTTTTATTTAGATTTCTATCAGTCCTCTAGGTCAGAAATTAACATCCATTGGGCAATATGTCCATTTCCGTGCGTGGAAGTCATGCTACAGTATTGCTCCCAAACGAACAACATTTTTAGGCGACGCTTCGAAGTTAACATTGAAAATATCATAAATGTGAAAACTGGAGAGAAAAAAAATCATAGACGAATTGACCTGACATAGTCGCTCAATGACTTATGAACATCAGAGCAATTTGCAATTTTATTAATATCTAGAATAAAACTAGCAACACAAATAAATCTGTCTTTGAACTGCATTTTCACTTTGTGTTTATTAGTCACGACATTAAGATGCTTAGTTATGAAGTAACTGCGTCGTTTTAACTCTCTCCCTGTTTATTTTGTAAGCGTGTATACATGCATATATACATACATTGCAAACAAAACAAATCCGTGATAATACAAAATAGGACATGCCAATAGATTTTAAAACGGTGGAGAAAACTTTTATCTTAATTTTTCTTTTATTTCCACCATCGACTGACAAATTTGGAAAATATAGCGTAAATTTTGTTTGCATAAGATTTCATTGATTAGAAAAGGTGAAAAAATGATTGAATTTAAACAAAATGTTCAGAGTGAGAGATATTGAAACTAAGGACCAAAAACGACAATAGTTCAAGCAATGGCAATTTTGATATTTAACTTGTAGAAGAAAATGAAGTTTCTAAATAAGCTACCCATTATATTTTGACCCATATTATTTTGAAGAAAAAAAAAGTCTTTTTCTCCGTGTATGATAATCAAGGAGTGCTTTCTAAACAAAAAACTGGGCATTGAGTTCAACATTGCAAGAAACTTTCTTTTTCAGCAATAAATTTAATTTAAATTTCGCAATATCTTCACACTATGTAAAACAATATTTCCGTTAGTTGAAGCGTTGTCTTTTTTTTATTCTTCATTAAAAATACCAGCTTTTGGACATAATGATCTTTTGACAGGACCATATGCTCTTCTGAACTGTTTATTACGCTGGATGTACAAGGATGAAATGCGTTATAAGTCCTGAGATATGCCAGTTGCAAATAGAAGAAGAATAAGAATGAAAACAAAAAGTGAAACCATAATTTACAAACTGCATTACAATCATTAGGATTAGTTTATTTGTGCTGTGCCTATTTATAAACAAGAAAAGAAGTCCGGTCTTGGAAGTGAGTGCTTCTTGAATTACTCCTTAATTATGGTGTGATATTACTGACGGAACCCTCGAGTGCTTGCTACCATTTTCACAAAGAACCACGTGTGCTGATGGTAATTTTGAATAAATTTATTCCATTTTTGTTCTACATGTCCTCGCACCAGTAACTGTTGAACAAAAGACATGGTTCTCGACGAGGAAGATGATCCCTACTTAACAACTAACCCGGTTTTCTCACTGACGGCAACTACCCACCTTTGACATCTTAAAAGCTCTTCAAAACAGGGTAAATCAGCATAAAACATAACAAGTCTTTCAATTGAGAAATCTTTCCTCCATCCATCAAAAATTTGTCGATGTTGATAGTAAGGATAGACCTTCCTTGCCAAAGGCGAGGTGGCGACAACTAAAGCGAAAAGTTATGTTTTGATAGTGAAGGTTAATCTCCGGTGGATCTGGTATGGGCGTGGTAAAAAGTCTTGCCCAGAGATACTGAGGCCAGCTAAATAATGTAAGAGAAGACGATATTTGTTTTCACCATTCTACTCACTTTTTAAGATTGCTTGAAACTGATTTGATCAGCATATAAATTATATATATATATATATATATATATATATATATATATTATATATATATATATATATATATATATATATATATATATATATATATATATATATATATATATATATATATATATATATATACAGAAATACAGACAGAGACAGAGTTTGTGTCAATAAGTTAGATATTTTGTTTGAAATTAGAAAAATATAACATAAATTACTGGTAATACAAAGTCCTCCTAAGAAGACTAAAACCACTTTTTTCTGATAAACATATCAATAGTCATGTTCTTTTCTTAAAAAAAAATGAATGCATTTATTAATTTATAATTGATAATATTATCTAGAATAATGTATTTATCTCGTAATGTATGATGACGTGTTGGTTTTTCTTCTTTATTCTAACATATACACTGATTCAATGACATTTTCTGGTGCCATCATCATCTGCCGTTCGATCTTGGATGGAAATACAGTGGCAATGGTAAAGATGTATTCTCCCACTCAGAAGATAATTGTCTCTTGTGCTACACAATGTTTGACTAATGTCAAGCTTCTTTCCCGTTTGTGCAATACTTCCACTAGGCGCACGTAAAGTTTGACTTCTACGATAGTGGTTTTGTACCTTGACCATCAATAGAACATGGTATACTTTGATTCATTCTTTTATGCATATCCACTGCATCATATAAACACATGTCCAAATACAAACTGTATCCTTGTTTGATCTTGTTTCGATGGTCCTTAAATTCAACTATTGCCACCTGCGTTACCATTGCAATAAAATCAGTGTCATTGGAATTGTCCAAAGTGTCACGTCCCATAAAAACAGATGCATCCTGATGTGTGTTTTTGGTTTCTTTTCCTTTTGTCAAGCCATTATTCAGGTTCGATCTGTAAGTGTAATTATACATACTGCTACTCACTAGTTTGTTATTCAAGTACAAATCCACTTCACTGAGCAACAAATATACGAAACTGTTCAACAGAGCTATTCTGGCATCGACAATTGGATAGGCTTTTCAACTTTGAGAACTTTGACTTCTACTTACAAACGAGTGCTATTCAGATTGATGTAATCTTCGTTTTGTCCACTGATTCCAAATTCGATAGGTACTCAGGCTGTCACCGATGGAGCAGGATGAATTTCTACCTACATCGTTATCATCGTCGAATGCATAAGAAACATACCAAGTTCTGACTTGATCCATTCGCAAGAATCTAGGTGCAATCAGTTGTTTCTCTTTAACAATTTAGTAATCAGCTATGTCAAGTTCTATGACAGTTCTCGTTTAGTCTTTCTTATTTTTATTCTAAACGTTTTAATGAAATTTAAGTGGGTTTTGGACGCATTGTCTTTGCTATGGATTATAAGTAATACTATGGCCAGAAGTGCGAAGATCTTTAACAGTTTGAAGCAACACATGCTTCATGCTTTCATAAAGGTTTATTTTTCACCTTGCTTGTCAATGATGATATTTTAAATAAAATATTTTCCTTTTTCAGCCGTGGAACACAGGATACATTTTTTTCACAATTCACTGAAAAACCGTTTTCAAAATGTAGTTTCACCGTGACTTTTCCCTTCGAGAATATAATAATGTGTCTGAGATCTGCTTTTAATCTAATGCTGACACTGTCAAAGTAAATTACGATTTACTGACAGAAAG